GCAGACGTGCTGCATCAACTACGTGACAAGGAGACCGGATCGGAGATGTGGAGTGAGCTCTGCAGCCTTTACGAAGGAAAGCAGAACGAAGCCATCAAGGCGTACACGATCCGTCGCGTGGAGAATGAGCTTTGGAGTATGAAGCCCGCACCTGGAGGAGACGCCAACCTCCATCTTTGCAAAATGTTCAATCTCAAGACTGTGTTGGCCGACTTGAATCATACGGTTGCAGATACCACGATGGTGGATATGCTACTGGAGAGTTTGCCTGATCAACTGGAGTTTGAGCATCTGAAGTCTTCGATATACTACGGCGCAGACCCGAGTGTCTACACACCTTAGAAGGTTCGAGAGCTGATTCTTGCGGCGACGGCTCGGCAGAAAGAGTTTCGAGCTAAGCGCAGTGAGAAGAAGGGTAGCCCGCGAGGAAGACATGGCAAAAGCAGTTAGAGCAGAAAAGGCTTTCTCGAGGACAAGACTGGTGACCCCAAGAGAGTTAGAAGATGCTTTACTTGTGGCAGTGAAGATCACCTACGTGTCGATTGTCCTGAGAAGTCGAAGGGGAAAGAGAAAGCTGACGACGCAGAGAATAGGCGTAAGCCGCGCAGTTGTTGTACCCTACGACAAGAAACCACTGGACCAGTGCAGATGAACCGCGAGCGGGATGAGGGTGTTGGTTGTGGCAGGAGTCACAAGTTCTCGTGAAATATACGGGATTCCTCGGGAGCTCGATGAAGCACATGGAGTGGATGACGTACACACCGATGATGTATGTGGCATTAGAATCGTGAGCGACGATGAAGCAGCAAGTGATGGAAACCCGGTGAACGATCATGAGTCAGATAGTGGTGAATCACATCTGGAGGACAGTGATCAAGTAACACAAGGTCTCAATGGCGGGTGGTGGTATCTGGATACGGCCTCCAACTCGCACGTCACGGGGAATTTCGCTGAGTTCATGTCGTACACGGCAGACTCGGAGCAGCTAGAGCAGATCCGAGGAGTTACGCCTACGATTGCTTCCCGTGTTGCTGGAATGGGAACAGTGGCGTTTACGACAGAGGTTAATGGAGAACAAGTAGTGAGCTATCTCGACGGAGTGTTGTACATTCCGGATGCCGAGTATGGTTTGTTTTCTCCTGGATTAGCCTACGAGCAGGGTTATACTCTGAAATATGACAGAGAATCGAGGAATTTTCACGTCATGAGAGATGGAAGGACTGTGGCTGTAGCAACGCAGCAGGAGGCTACTTGGGGGTTCCAAGTAGCGAGTCCGACCCAGAGAGCTCGAGTGCTACCAGAAGCAGCAGCAAGATGTAATCACACTATGGCAGAAGGTGTTGGTTCGCTGCAGCTTTGGCATGAGAGACTGTGTCATATCTGTCCACAGTATTTGAAGACTATGGTCGACAAGGAGCTGGTGGAGGGAATGGTGGTGACACAGAGACAGCAAGATACGTGTGATGCCTGTCATCTTGGAAAACAAAAGATGAAATCACACAGGAAGATGCTGAACCGTGGACTGAAGAGACCCAACCAAGTAGTGTATGCGGATCTTCTGATTCCAGGGAAGAATAATGCGACTCAATATGAGGCCGTGTTGGTGATCATGGATGGTCATTCGCGGTTTGTCACTGCGCACCTGCTGAGGAAAAAGGACAGCAAGGTGGTGAACAAGTACATGCAAGAGTATGTGTTGTGGGCGGAACGGCAGGCAGGCCGAAATGCCAACGGGAAAACATACAGAGTGCAGCAGATTTGGAGTGACCAGGGCGGTGAATTCTTCAATGAAGGAACTGATGCATGGTATCGTTCAAGAGAAATTGAGCATGTGAAAGTCGGGCTGAAGAGCTCGCAGCTCAATTTGTGTGAACGAACGCACCAATCGTTGGAGGACATGACTAGGTCTACGATGGCACACTCGGGGCTACCGAGGAGCCTGTGGCCTGAGGCACTGAGAAATGTAGTGTATGTCAAGAATCGTGTGTACAACAAGGGGACTAATGGCATTCCGTACGAGATGCTGTTCGGAGTCAAGCCGAATGTACACCACATCCGGAAGTTTGGAGCGCTGGCGTACGTGCACGTACCAGTGAGTCCTGGACGCAAGAAACTGAGTGTTCATGCGAAGATTGGGTTTGTATTCGGGTATGCTGAGAATGTAGTTGGCTGCAAAGTGTACTTTCCTGATGAGCACACAGCAAAGTTTGTGTCAGATCTGCGTGTTGCAGAAGATGTTATGTATCGGGACCGATACACAACGGAAGTGGAAGACGACGATCTCTCTTCACTTCACTTTACTCATCGCGAAGATGAGGACCAGACCGTTTTGAGCGAGCTGAGTGATGTACCATCTTTTGAGCTCGAGGAAGGCGAGAGTGTGGATGCTTGCGTGGATGCTGTGCAGACACAGGAAGGCGAACGTACTGACGTACATACGCAGGTTGGACGAGAAATGCACCAAGTGTATGATCAACCTGTCCACCATGCCGATAGCGAAGCGGATGGAGATGTTCATTTGAATGGTGATGTTCAACGCAAGGTTACTGAGGACGGTACTGAGACTGTTCAAGTAGGCAGTGACGCCGTTGAGAACGATGAACATGGTAATGCTGTTACTGAAAGTGTACAACATGAAGGCAGTCAACCGAGTGAGGCTAGCAAAGGTGTAAGTGTCGACACTGGTCAAGCAGCTGAGGGCGAGAATGTCCATGAAGCGGCTGAGGGTGTTGACATAGCAGATGCGGACGCTATATCGGTGGCTGGAACCTGTGGATCGGAAGTAGTTGACCATAAACTGGATGACTCCGAAGAGCAAGATGGTAATGAAGAGACCACAGTAGCGAGTGTCTTTGCTGAGGACCAGAGTAGCGATGATGCGGAGCTAGAGAGTGACACTAGTGAGGACACACTACCTGAAGCTGAGCCAGACAGAGATGTGGTGGGGATAAGTCCTGAGGTAACAGTGATGGCAAGCGTATGCATTGAGATGAGACTCCTTCAGAGGAGGTTCGTGCAGAGCTGGATGCGGATAAGACAAACGTGAAGAAGACACGGACTGGACTACGAGAAGTTCACGAGCGTCGACGTCCGGCGTATCTCGATGACTACATGGTGAACGTGACGATGAATTCCTCACGTGTACTGGATAAGAATGGAAGACCCATTCGTGCAAGTGAGATCAAAGTTCCACGTAATCGTCGTGAGATGATACGGTCGAAGTGGTGTGACTTCTTCATGATGGTCGAGATGGAAGAGCTTGCAGTTTTGAAGAAGAAAGGAGTGATTGCCGAGATTCCTGCGGATGAAATGCCGGAGGAAGCATCACCCGTGAACACGATGTGGGTATATGACATCAAGACCGACCATCAAGGATATGTGATTCGTTTCAAGTCGCGCATAGTGGCGCTGGGTAACTATCAAAGACCCGGGATTGACTTTAAGGAGACGTTTGCACCGGTGGCGAGGATGTCGTCGTTCAGATTGCTGTTGGCATTAGCAGCGCAGCTGGGATTAATGGTATATGGCGGAGATATTAACACCGCATACTTGAATGCCCAGTTGGAGATCCAGCAGTACTTGAGATCCATTGAAGGATACCCATGCAAGATCAACAGATATGTTTATATCGTGTTGAAGGCGCTATATGGTTTGCATCAGTCAGGTCGCGAGTGGAACTCGGAGCTGAACAACTGGTTGATGAAGCACGGATACATGCGGTCGTTGACGGAACCGTGTCTGTACTATCGTTTTGACGGAGATACGATCATGTATGTGCTAGTGTATGTTGATGACATACTGGTTGCAACGAATGACGAGCAGAGCAAGAAGGACTTGTTCGCGCAGCTGGACAAGGAGTACGGGATTAAGGATCAAGGCCTGTTGAATGAGTACCTGGGTGTGAAAGTGGAGCAAACGACTGAGAGAATCACAATTCACCAAGGGAAATATGCACGAGAGATCCTGAGCAATTTCGGGTACCAGAATGTCCATGCGGTTGGAAATCCGATGGAAGTGAACTTGCGGTTGGCACCAATGAGCGATGAGGAGACAGGAGATACGAGTTTTCCCTATCGAGAGGCTATTGGAATGCTGATGTACTTGGCAACGAGCACCAGACCTGATTTGGCGTTCGTGGTGGGTCAACTGAGTCGGTTTGTGGGCAAACCGTCTGCGAAACATGTTGGAAGTCTGAAGAGAGTACTGCGGTACGTAGCAGGAACTCTTGACTATGGAATCACGTACACAAGAACGCAAGGAGCAACTAGGGAAGTTGTACTTGAAGGGTATTGTGACAGCGACTGGGCGAATGATCCAGAGCAGCGGAAGAGCACAACGGGGTTTGTGTTCATGTTGTCTGGAGGAGCTATTGCCTGGATGTCACGGCGGCAGTCGATTATTGCGTTATCGACGGCTGAGGCGGAGTATGTGGCGGCCTGCGAGGCTACTGTGGAAGTTGTAGCAGAGGGGAACATTCTGCAGGAGATATTACCAGATCATGAGGTCAAGTTACGAATTGGTATTGACAACCAAGCAGCTCATGTGATGGCGACTAATCCTACCTACAGCAGACGCACGCGACACATTGAACTCCGATGGCACTATGTTCGGGAACAAGTGGTGAAGAGCACCATTGATCTGCACAAGGTGAGAGGCGAGGTGAATCCTGCGGACACGTTTACCAAGCCGCTCGACAAGATTCGCTTGAAGGCGATGTTGGAGCTGGCTGGCGTGAATTAGGCCAAGTAGTCGAAGTTGCACTTCGAGGGAGGCGTGTTGGAATTCACATTGGAGACCAGGCACAACGAGACATGGACAAACTGGATGAGATCAGCTGGGCCAGGCCATTGTACGGGAACGGGTTGAATCCGTTAGTGTTGGTAGGAGCTCTGGAGGAGCGTGAGCTAGCACTTAAATAATTCAGTCTTCATTTTACTTTCACAAGTCCAGAGTGCTGCCAAACGGAACGGAGTTCCAATACCTTGAACTCCAGACGCCCTTCAACCTTAGGCAGACGAAGTCCATCTGGATCAAAAGAATCGATCAGAGTAACTCGGTCACGGATAGCAAAGATAGTCGAGCCAGCTTTGAACGCCTTGGGTGCGTCACCGAGAAATGTCGACGCACTGCTAACAATCTGGATGGACATCGTGATGGCCATAAGCGTGCGCATCATCTCTGTGAAGCCAATCGAGCCATCGTCGATCTTCTTGGCGCCGTACCAAAAGATTAGTGCGTATGTAGCCATCATGATGAAGGAGCTAAACCCAAGTGATAGCCCGTTCACCTGAGCCTCTTTGCTGCCTTTGCGAAGTGGCTCTGCTGGAAGCTCATCGAAGACATCCACCGACTTCTTCTCGATGCCAAGAGCAGCCACTGTGCGGATATTGCTGAGAACTTCCGATGCGTGAGCACCAGGAATAGCCAAGTCGTCGGAGATCAAGCCACTGCTCTCCATCTGCTTCATACGTACGACATGGCCGAAGAGCAGGAAAGGGAGCAGAGCCAACATGATGAGAGACAGCAGCCAACTACCGAAATCACTAGAGCTGCGACCAACGTGAAAACCGCCTGGAAGGCTCGAGACTGCGACTCGCCAGACAACAGAGACACCTTGGTGGGGTTTGTGGCCAGATCAGCAGTCAGAGCGCCCGTCGCGTTCTCCTTCTCGTCGAAGAAGCCGACATTCTGACGGCACAGACCCGAGAAGTTCGTGTTACGCAGCCTTGTAGTGATCTTCTCCTCCATAAACTTAAAGCAGTACACCTGCATGAACGTGAAGATCGCGACAATCGCAGCACCGACGAGGTACAAGATGCCATACAGCTCCACGTCGTTGTACATTGTGGTCAAGTGGGAACTGTCGCCGGAACTATGGTACTGTCCGTACTGCTCCGTCATGGAGGTGATCATTCCCGTAACTAGCAGCGCAGAGGCCGGCATGGAGATACCAGCCACACATGTGCCGATCAGTCCGATGATAAAGTACTTGACTTCCATCTTGTTGAGCCGCAACATATCCATCAGACCAAAAGGTTTCTTGTCCAGGAAGCTCGTCTCCACACCACTAACAGAGATATCTGTCTTGGCGGACATGCCACTCAGTGTACGGGACAGCTTGGTGCTTTCAAGTTTGCTTTTAGCTTCTCGACGTTCGGCTTCCTGTTGTTCTTCTAGCGAGCGCAACTGCTGGATACGGTACATGTTCTGATAAATACCGTGCTCGATTTGCAGTAGCTCGTCGTGAGTACCGCTCTCCACGATGTGACCCTCGTTCAGCACGACGATCTTGTCAGCGCTTCGAACCGTACTTAATCGGTGAGCGATCACCAGCGTCGTCATGTTCGTCGTGGCCATCAGATTGTTCAATGCCGCCTGAACGATCTTCTCACTCTCGTTGTCTAGAGCACTCGTGGCCTCATCCAACACTAAAATATTCGGCTTACGTACGATAGCACGAGCGATGGCTACACGTTGCTTCTGACCGCCAGAAAGAGACACACCCTTCTCTCCAACCAGCGTATCGTAGTTCTCCGGTAACGACATGATGAAGTTGTGTGCGTTCGACAGCTTGCACGCTTCTATGGCTTCTTCACGAGTCACGTTGTCGCCACCCATAGCGATGTTCTCGAAGATGGACGTCGCGAATAGCACCGGCTCCTGAGAGACCATACCGATCTGTGAACGTAGCCACTTGACGTTCAGCGTCTTGACATCTCGACCATCAAGGTAGATCGTGCCACTCGTGAGGTCGTAGAATCTCTCAATCAACGCAATCAACGTACTCTTCCCACCCCCACTAGCACCAGCAAATGCCACCGTTTGACCCGGTTCGATAGTCACATTGTAGTCCCGCAGGATCTGGGCGTCAGGACGACTCGAGTACGTAAAATTGACATTCACCGCCTCAATTTTGCCTTCACACTTGTCAGGGATGATTCCTTCGCCTTCCTTCTCGGCGTCAATAGCACTCGCAGTGTCCAAGATGGCAAACAACTCTTCTGCAGCACCAGCAGCTTTGGACATCGCCGTAACATTAGGAGAAATCTGTGCAAGTGCACCTGTACCCATCATGACAGCGAAGAACGCAGCAAACACATCTCCGGGTGTCGTGTCACCTTTCGAAGCCTTCCAGCCTCCGTACCAAAGGCCAATTGAGTACATAACCCAAATACTGGCCAAGAACAAGGCAAGCACAGCGGATGACATCTTGTGTAGTGCGATATTTTCCTTTTCCGCTTCAAACACCTTGTTCTCGAACTTGGTGATGGCTTTATGCTCGCCATTCAACGACGCCACTGTCCGAATCGACCCCAGCGTCTCCTCTGCGACCGAGCCAGCCTCAGCGTACACCTTTTGTGCCCAGTCTGACTTGATTCGCATCGTCTTAATCAACCAACTCAGTGAGAGGCATGACACACGCCATCACTAGGGTGATATCCCACCCACGGGCGAATCCAATAATAAAACCCACGATAAACTGGATGACGAATCGGAATGAATCTCCGAGCTTTTGACCCATTCCATCTTTGATTCTCACTGTATCACCAGTCAAGTGACTCGATAGTTGCAGGGCGTCGTTCTCGTCGTACCAGCTGATGTCCATGTACAGCATGTATTTCAAGGCTTCACTTCTCAATATTTTCATCTGTCTCTCTGCGCTGTAGTAGAATGCCACGTACGAAATGTAGTCCGTGATGAACATGAAGACGGCGATATACAGATAATCTAGCGCTGCACTGTTGACCTTGTCCATATCCACGGGTGTCGATGCAAAATGCGACAATACGTCGCCAAACACAATGGCCAAAAGCGGGAACAACGCACCGTTGGCCCCCGTCGCAACAATCCCGACTCCTAGCAGAACTTTGTCGAAAGGTGTGGCGTAGCGGTACAAACTTGCTAACTTGAAGGGAGTGGGACCACCATTCATGACCTCGTCCAGGAGTTTGGGCTCCAAGCTGTCGGACTCGCTGCTGGTGCCATCTTTTTTGGCTTTGATGTCGAGCCCAGTGGCGCGAGGGGTTTCTACTCGCTGATAGGAGATCTCATCGCTTGGTATTAAGTCGGACTTGTCCAGACTTGGCATTAGAAATCACTGCAGACTTGAAGAACGAGGACTATTGGCTGTAGTCGCGATGTGATGAGCTTGAGCTGAAGGTGGCGACTTGTAAAATGGACAAACACGCATCGTGCGCGCACCTGCCCTGTTTGACAGCAACGAGACGATCGTAGAGAGCTGATCGCTCATCAATCCTTTCGAGAAGACTGACATAGGCTATTTGATAGGCTCATAAACATCTTCAATAGTTTGAATGGTAATCATTCAGAGGGCATCAGCATTAGCTGTCCCGCGAGGCTTTTATTAATGGAACCTCCAGGTTGGATAGCGCTGGCAGTTCCGCTTAGTACAGCTTTAGCTCCGTGGAATCATATTCTCCTTGGCTTCAATTACGATACTTAAGTTAACGTTTTAATATAAGTACATGTACACATTACTGGCCAAGAACCATTATCTTCTTGGATTGTGATGAAGCAAGCTGGCATCAGCAGAACGGAATATAATCAAGAAGGCGGAGGGCGGGGCGACATATTCGACGCTAAAAAGCCATCGAATGACCATAGAATTCCAACGACCATATTACACTTTCAGCTCGGCATATATTGCTGCGGTAACAATATCACTGTACTTCGGCCTAGTTTCGTGCAGAAATGGTTTTCTTTTAAGAAAGTAGGCTTAAAAGCGCAAGATCAGCCCCCACACAGTCGCTTTGATTGCGAACATCAATTTTTTTTGTAATCCTAACAACTCGACTACTGTACTTTTTCATTCATTCAGGCATTGATTTCGGACGGAATGACAGTCATCCAGCGCTGAACGTCGTCCTATCGATTGCGATTTAATAAAAATACAGGCAAAATTTGTTATCGTGCCAAATACTTCAGAAGTATACGATAACTAAGTAATTCTAAATTCTGGCGATTCAGATGCTGAGTCTGCGTAATCAATACTCACGTAGATATTTTCTTGAATAATTTAATCAATACATGTAAAGAAAAGTGAAGTCAGCCAGCATAGAGAATGATACCGGTTCGGATGCTAATTGTATTGGAAACTTCATGTATCAGTCGACGAGATCCTTTCAAATTTTCCTCGAAAAGTTTATTAATAATCATTAGTAAGTTTAACCTTAGCGGGTTGGCTGTGGAGTCAATAATGTCTTTCCCTCACATCGACGCAGACTCCACGAGACCAGCGTAGATCCCATTCAGCTGCAACAACTCCTGGTGTGTGCCCTGCTCCGCGATCTTGCCTCCGCTCACGACACAAATCTTGTCAGCGCGGCGAATCGTCGACAACCGATGAGCAATGACGATAGTTGTCCGTCGCTTCAACGCCACCACCTTGTCCAGCGCTTCCTGTACCACCTTTTCGCTCTCCGAGTCCAGCGCGCTCGTGGCTTCATCCAGCAATAAGACGTTCGGGTTCTTCAGAATAGCTCGAGCAATGGCGATACGCTGCTTCTGCCCTCCCGACAACTGCTCCCCCTTCATCCCTACCTGAGTGTCGTAGCCGGCCGGGAACTGCGTGATGAAGTCGTGCGCGTTGGCCATCTTGGCAGCTTCTTCGATCTGTTGCTGACTCGGCTGCTCTGCCAAGCCGTACGCGATGTTCTCAGCGATGGTTCCAATGAAGAGCATGGGCTCCTGACCCACCAGTCCAATCTGACTACGTAGCCAACCCAAGTTCAGGTCCTTAATATTGTGGCCGTCCAATAGAACTTCACCCACCACAGGGTCGTAGAAGCGCTCGATGAGCGAAATAATAGTACTCTTGCCGCCGCCACTGGGTCCACAGAACGCCACAGTCTGACCTGCCTCGATAGTGAGGGTGTAGTGCTTAAGCACGTTGATCTCCGGACGCGTCGGGTACCGGAACGAGATGTCCTTGAACTCCAGACGCCCTTCGACCTTAGGCAGACGAAGCCCATCTGGATCAAAAGAATCGATCGGAGTAACTCGGTCACGGATAGCAAAGATAGTCGATCCGGCCTTGAACGCCTTCGGTGCATCCCCCATAAAGGACGAGGCACCACTGACAATTTGAACTGACATCATAATTGCCATGAGAGTTCGCATCATCTCCGTAAATCCAACCGATCCGTCATTCACCTTCTTGGCTCCAAACCAGAAGATGAGTGAGTACGTCGCCATCATAATGAACGAGCTGAAACCAAGCGATGCGCCATTAATCTGCGCCTCCTTGCTGCCTTTCTGGAGCGGTTCTTCCAGTAACTCATCGAAAACGTCAGCAGATCTCTTTTCAATCCCCAGAGCAGCAACAGTTCGAATATTGCTGAGAACCTCGGACGCATGGGCGCCTGGGATGGCCAAATCGTCCGAGATTAAACCTCCGCCTTGCATTTGCTTCATACGAGCGATATGCCCAAACAGCAAGAACGGCATAATAGCCAACATGATGAGAGACAATAGCCAGCTCCCGAAGCCAAACGAGATCACCAAAGCCGCGATCAACGTGAAGATGGCTTGGAACACACGAGCTTGCGAGTCACCGGACAGTAATGCAACCTTGGTGGCGTTCGTGGCGAGGTCAGCCGTCAGCGCACCGGTCGCGTTCTCTTTCTCATCGAAGAACCCAACGTTCTGTCGACAGAGACTCTCGAAGTTCGTGTTACGGAGACGCGTCGTCGTCTTTTCCTCGATAAACTTAAAGCAGTAAGTCTGCATGTACATGAAGATCGCGATCACAGCAGCGCCAACGAGATACAAGATACCGTACAACTCTACGTTGTCGTACAAGTCGCTGAGGTAGGATCTGTCTCCAGTGTTCTCGTACAAGGCGTACTTCTCCGTCATAGACGTGATCATTCCAGTGATCAACAGAGCAGACGCGGGCATTGCGATTCCACCGACCCAAGTTCCAATCAACCCGACAATGAAGTAGTTCATCTCTGGCTTGCTCAACCGAGCGATGTCCATCAAAGTGAATGGTTGTTTATCCAAGAAGTTCTTCTCCACAGCACTCACAGAGATGTCTGTCTTGGTTAATACACCACTCATCGTGCGTAATGGCTTCATACCTGCGAGATCGTTGACTGCCTCATGACGCACAGTGTTCTGTTGTTCCTCTAGTGAACGCAGCTCCTGGATACGGTACATGTTCCTGATAATTACCGTGCTTCGATTCTTTCAGTAAACTTCATCATGAGTGCCGCTCTCCACGATGTGACCCTCGTTCAGCACGACGATCTTGTCAGCGCTTCGAATCGTACTTAATCGGTGAGCGATCACCAGCGTCGTCATGTTCGTCGTGGCCATCAGATTGTTCAATGCCGCCTGAACGATCTTCTCACTCTCGTTGTCTAGAGCACTCGTGGCCTCATCCAACACTAAAATATTCGGCTTACGTACGATAGCACGAGCGATGGCTACACGTTGCTTCTGACCGCCAGAAAGAGACACACCCTTCTCTCCAACCAGCGTATCGTAGTTCTCCGGTAACGACATGATGAAGTTGTGTGCGTTCGACAGCTTGCACGCTTCTATGGCTTCTTCACGAGTCACGTTGTCGCCACCCATAGCGATGTTCTCGAAGATGGACGTCGCGAATAGCACCGGCTCCTGAGAGACCATACCGATCTGTGAACGTAGCCACTTGACGTTCAGCGTCTTGACATCTCGACCATCAAGGTAGATCGTGCCACTCGTGGGGTCGTAGAATCTCTCAATCAACGCAATCAACGTACTCTTCCCACCCCCACTAGCACCAGCAAATGCCACCGTTTGACCCGGTTCGATAGTCACATTGTAGTCCCGCAGGATCTGGGCGTCAGGACGACTCAAGTACGTAAAATTGACATTCACCGCCTCAATTTTGCCTTCACACTTGTCAGGGATGATTCCTTCGTCTTCCTTCTCGGCATCAATGGCGCTTGGCGTATCCAAGATAGCGAACAGCTCCTCCGCCGCGCCAGCAGCCTTGGACACCGCAGTAACATTAGGGGAGATCTGTGCAAGCGATCCTGTGCCCATCATGACGCCGAAGAACGCAGCAAACACATCTCCAGGCGTCGTGTTACCTTGCGAAGCCTTCCAGCCGCCATACCACAACCCAATGGAGTACATGATCCACACACTCCCCAGAAACATGGAGAACACCACCGACGTCATCTTGTGCAAAGCGATATTCTCTCTCTCGGCTTCAAACACCTTGTCCTCGAACTTCTTGATCGCCTTCTGCTCTCCATTCAGCGACGCCACCGTCCGAATGGACCCCAGCGTCTCCTCAGCAACCGATCCAGCCTCAGCATAGACCTTCTGTGCCCAGTCCGACTTGATCCTCATGGTTTTAATCAACCAGCCCAGTGAAATAGTCATAAAGGGCATCACACAAGCCATGACTAAGGTAATATCCCAGCCTCTTACAAAGCCGATAGCGAAGCCCACTATAAACTGCACAGTGAAGCGGAACGAGTCTCCGAGTTTCTGACCCATCCCGTCTTTGATCTTGACAGTGTCGCCCGTCAAACGGCTCGATAGTTGCAGAGCGTCGTTCTCATCGTACCAACTAATGTCCAGGTACAACATGTGCTTCAGTGCCTCGCTTCTCAGAGCTTTCATCTGCCTCTCGGCGCTGTAATAGAACGTCACGTAGCTTAGATAGTCCGTGAAGAACATGGCTACAGCGATGAGGAAGAAGTCAAGTGCTGCCTTATTCACTGTATCCATGTCCACGGGGATACTACTGAAGCCCGTAAGAACGTCTCCGAAGACGATGGCCATGAGTGGGAAGAGCGCGCCATTGGCTCCCGCTGTAATAACGCCCACTAGTAGCAGCCATTTGTCCAATGAAGTGGCGTAGCGGTATAAGTGTGTGAACTTGAAGCTCGTGGGGCCTCCATCCACGATCTGGCGGCGCAAACTCGGCTCCTTTTTGGACTCAGAGACGTCGGATTCGCTGCTGGTCACCGGTTTGTGGCGTGGCGTCTCCACCCGCTGGTAGGCGTCGTTGTCTAGTGGGGACTTGGCCAGAGTTGGCATGGCGCTTCTGGAGCTCGTGGCAAGTTGAACAATGAGTGCGCGATGATTGCTGCCAAGGATAAATGACCATCATTCTGGACAGAGAGCATCTTGGACGTTTTATGGACGGACCTGTGATGACGAATGCGCTTCAGATTATTAGAAATAGTAGAAGAAAAAGAGTCTGCTTTCAAGATGAATGGCCCATTCAATGGGCGCTTACGTAGACAGCCGGAACGGTGTTGCAGGCAGGGTGGCTCCCCGCCGGTGTATGTATGTGCTAGCATTATGAGATGGGGGCAGTGCCGCACTGCCTGTGCACTGAGTCACTCAGTGAGTGCGACTGGCGTGACGGCATTGGAAAGATTTGAAATCTCAAAGAGCAATCATTTTGGACAAAGCGTTTGCATCAACTATAAAATTAGAAAGGATCATGAATTGCAATCGTGCCACTTTCCCGGTGGTGGTGGTGCAAGTCGAGGAAACGAGCTGAGCGAAAAGCTGTTTGCGGATCCTCCTATTTAAGATTCCCTGAGCTAAAATGTATTGTAATTTAAAGTCGAATCAATGGTGTTGGTCTGTCGACGATAGCTCCATACTGAAGGCAATGACGGTGGACATCTACAGTACCGTCCTGGCGTCAACTATCGTCCGTGTAATCAGCGAAGACCATGTGTTTTCGGAGGAAGTGAGAACCCACTGAAAACAAGTATTAACAAAAGGCCACCCCCCGGGGGTATACGCAAATCCTGGAAGTAATTACGCAAATCCTGTAAGTAATTGATAGCAGGTCTTAGGTAGATAAGGATTGTAATAAAGAATCTACCTTGGGTAGAAGGAATTTACCCGGGGGTATCAGCTCTCACAGGAGTATGCCGCATACATTCTGCTCGACTTGGCGCTGTCGTCGCATTCTTGCGACGGTTGCGGTGCCTAAAAACGCCACAACGAGTCGACCACATGTGCAACCGTTGCTGTTACTTCCAGACTCCATAGCACTCAATGCCAAGCAGTAAGGCAACGGCCCACTCAACTTGGATCTGTGCGCCATGTACTGACAAATGCTCCAGCTTGATCACCTTCGTCCGTCCAGCTCACATTATACTGGGGGCAGTAAGTACACGCTGCAGGCGATTCACTCGTCGCGTTATTTCATGGATGGAAGCACCACCAAAATCTGACAAGTTGAAGTTTTCATGCTGCTGGATAGGTCGTTCATGCTCGATTTCTAATAAACTAGCCGAGCGCCACCGCTACGCGGCGGTAGTTTAGATTTTATTCTACTTGTTTGGCTTCCCGCCTCCGCTTCGCTTCGGCGGGATAATTATTCCAAAACTCTGCGCCCCAATGTGCCTAAATCGAGTTCTTTAATTCCCTAAATCTGGGTTTAATGCCGCAAAAGACTGAGCCCCTAGCATCGTACTTGCCATGCTTAAAAAAGATTATTTTTGTTATCTTGACACAGTCTCTTTATTATTGTTGGCTATCACTGCACCTTCATCTTCCACCCAGAGCCACCTGCACTTCAAATAGCATGCCTACAAACGCTACACAATACACTTAGTTTAGCGACGTGCTCGATATCACAGGCCGTTTCTGAGCCGCTATGAAACTTAGCTCGCATCAATGCAAAAAATATTATAGTAATGGCCTGTCTAGCTTGCACTAAGTACCCGCTTGTACTGCCTGTTTGAGCTTGTAATTAACTGAAGATTGATCATTTCTCATACCAAACTCAAAAAATGAAAGCTAAACAATATTCAAACTGTAACATCATTGAAGTGCGTTCATTTTGTTCTGATTCAAAATTGCATAAATAATGAAGTCATTAGCTCGAATGTGCCCGCTACGATTAAATCATTTGGATATTGCGTCGCAAGATATCTTGCTGTTGTTGGCGGCGGTGCTGTTATTTAATAGTTTAACTAAGACTCAAGGATGGTTTAGATCATTTATACTCTAAGTTTAGCGTTTCATTATGGGCGCGCTTGTCAGCGACATGTCTGCCAGTTAAGTACCTGGTATCAGGTTTTGCTGTCTAAATAACTTTCAGAAAACAATGTCCAAGCTCAATTCACGTACAGTAGTAATTGTCTCCAGCACAAATGAGTTATTATCGCTCCATCTGAATCTATCTATCGTTATGGCCCAAGAGACAGCGTTTTTAGCACAGCATTGTTCTTACGGCCAGTTCTTACGGCCAGCTACTGTCGTACTACGATTTAGCAGCTACCTCATAGAAGCCCCACCTCTGGGACAAACCGAGCCCGAACCACGGATCTACTAGTTTTTACGAACCAGAGCAAGGTATGGAGCCCGATTCTTCTCAAAAAATCAATGAACCGAGCTTGGGCGAGAACCTGATTCGTTCCGGAATTCTTTGCCTTTCATTGGCTAACATATTCAATTTTAATTGATTAAAAAAATTATGGCAACCTATGATTTAGACCCACATTCCCAGCATTTTGAACGACGCCGTATCTTCAGCACCGTAGTGCTTCACCACAATGGATGACCTGCCGATCGTCGAGCTGCCGGAGCACTACCGCATCGACGGCGAAAATCTGGGGATGGTGCTCGCTTATGTGTGAGATGGAGTGACGGCGGGGCTGCTTGGGCAAGATGGATACTGTGCGAGAGTGTCTGCGTCCGCCCCATCGTTGGATTGCTTCAACAGTCAGCCCACTGCTAAAGCTGCTACAAGCGTCCTGGAGCGTTGGCTGGCTGTGAAGTGCTGCTGCACATTTAGACTTAGTTTTACTATGCGGTTCACTCTAACCTCTGCTTAAACATTTGCTCGGATGGCGCTTTTGGCTCTCACGTTGCTATTTGCTGCACTTAGCCAACACGCCATCCTGTCGCGGCACCTTGCCCGGCATCTACGAGCTGTCTTCATTCAGTACCTTACCTCTAGTAAGCTTAAGAGACTTCACTATTAACTACCAGAATGGTAGCGCTACGAAGTGGAGCTGCTACTAAGGAAACTGCCAGTTTTAACAGCTCTCAGGTTATGAGCCCAACGCGGGCTGGTGCTACACAGGATACGCATGATGCTTCTTCGGATATTATAACTGCGCTTGCAGCGCAGCTCGATGCTGCTGTCGGGGCATCTTCGACATCGATGCTGCCGGAAGGCCACCGTATGTTGTACTGTATGAGGCGGTTGTCCGTTACTTTAACCGTGGGCACACTGCACGTGTCGCAAGCGATGTCTCACAGTCGACATCGCGTCTACCAATTACGGAGCTCCGATTGGCGAACAATTTGCTACTGACGGAAATTTCAACGAATGAAAGGACGAATGCAGTAGTGTACCATCCACCACGGAGCGGACAGAAGGATTCCCTTAGGGTGGGTGGTTTTAGAGCAAAATTCGCCGGATGCAGGACATGCAGGACGATGGAAAAGCCTCGTTTATATTCCAAGTAAGACCGAGCTCCCACTTGTCTCACTTCTGAAGAATTTGAAGAACGAGGGGGCATGCTCAGGGCTGATAGACGTAGCGATCGCAACCGACAGCGCCGGCGATGGCTCGCAATTGCCTTAGTGTTGCAGGAGGAGGAGGAAAGAAACCGTCGAACGCAGCAGTCTCGCTTAAGACTGGACTGGAATCTGGAGATGGAACGGCTCTTGTACGAGGGAGAGTTTAAACGTACGTACCGAATGTCGTCTGCCTCTTTTGAGCGACTGTGTGGCTTGCTCGTTGAGTTAGATCGCCCTGCACGCGCTTGGACGAATCGAAGTCCTGTAAGCGTGGAGAACAAGCTTCAGATGACGATCCGCTTCCTCTGTGGAGGCATGGTTGACGATTTACGGAGGGCTGGCGGTGTTGATCGATCCTACTGCTATCGAATAATCAAGGATGTGATGCGCGCAATTATCGGGGTTCCAGCGCTGCAAATATCATTTCCCACGGCTCCAACCGAACGAGAATCTGCAGCGGCTGCTTTTTCGGCTAGGAGCAACGAACAAGTCATGAATGGCTGCGTGGCCGCTATGGACGGATGGCTTTGTAATATTCAGGCACCATCCGATAATGATGCTGGCAGCGCAGCGGGGGCGCGCCGGTATTTCAGTGGCCACTACATGCGTCCCGGAATTAACGTACAGGCATGCTGTGATGCCTTCAGCCGCTTCGTCTTTGTGGAAGCATCACATCCCGGTGGAGTGAACGACTCGAGAGCTTACGATGACAGCGGGCTTCCTCGCGTGATTGAAACCTTGGAGCGGGGCTTGTACGTTGTTGCTGATGCTGCGTATACAGCCACGAACCACCTCTTGACACCATTTACAGCGCTTCAACCGGATGAGATATACAAGGACTCCTTTAACTATCATCTATCCCAGATCCGCATTCGCATCGAAATGGCATTCGGGTTGTTAGCTCGCAAATGGGGCATATTTCATCGCCCACTGCAACTTCGTTTGGCTACGGCTACGCTAGTGATCAAATGTGCAGCAACTCTACACAATTTCTGCATTAACGAGCGTCTGGAAGGTACGCAAGACCCAGTTTTGGAGGAGCTTCGCAAGATGCAACGCGATCAACGATGCTCTCTTAGGTCTTTGCTTACATTTGACCACGACGACACTATTGAAAGACCGACAACTAGCTTCGTTCGAGATGGATTAGTTGAAAAACTCCGTAGACGACACTTGCTACGAGCAAACTAGAACATTTGCATGTTCCCATCACTAACTTAGTTTTTATCCATCTCCGCCATCCAACGTTGAACGAGTCCATTGACCTTTTGCTCGAGCGTTTGCAACATTTCGTCACTGGCATTGCTCTCCTTGAGCATTTTCAATGTTGCTAAAGCACTTTGAACCGCAGTAGATGCCCTGGTTACTGAATTGTAGCCTGACGCTCGCTCCTCCAGCTCTTCTTTATGCTCGGACTCCAGCATGTTTACGATGCGATCGACTGGGCTAAGAAGACGGCGCTTCTTTCCACTGGAACTTCCGCTGCTTGACGATGAATCGACGTCACTCTCCACGGATCCAGGCAACGTGGACATTTG